CGCCGATCAGCGTCGCCAAATATATCTCTCTGTCGCGTATATTTACACATGTGCGCTCTTACTCGCTTTTCCACCCGGTCGGCATGTGGATAAATACGTGCGTTTAGCAAATTAATAGGCTACAGCGTACTTTGGCAAACTTCTCCTTTCTCTGTTTCTGTTTCTATTGCTACTGCAGCTTTACATGTAGTGCCACCACTATATATGAACTCTAAATGGAAACGATGCTATTAATCTCATTTTTTATAATGCACAGTATACTTCATTCAACTAGCATATTTCAACAATTTTCTAAATTTTGAATCAAGTATGATTATTCTTGGCTCATAAAAATTTTTTTATTTTCCAAACTATATGTAAAATACTTGTAGAACGAAATCAGCATAGAAACATAATGTAAACCAAAATATGTTATTTTCACTATGAGAATCTTCATTGATTATTTTTTTGCATTTTTTGTAAATAGTGAGTACTTTCAGAGAGTTTCATTAAGATTTCGGTAGAAAAGATGTTTTATCATCTATTAAATTTAGTTCAGGACACCAAGATCATAATAAGATTTCATCCTAAATTTGACAACTGTATTATCATATTTTTTTTTAATGATACTTAACGGTATATCATAGTAAAATGTCCTGGTGACGCTTCCCATGATTTATCCATAATAATGTATATTAACAAAGTTCTGTGCCGCATGAATTTAAATGTATCTTTCGACCAATTGGAATCAATGAAATCTCAAAAGCTATCATATAACATTCTTCTCCACTGAAGTGGAACAGATTCTAGATTTAATTATTTATTCAATCAATTAGTCAAAATTTGCATTCAAATTCATGCGACACAGGGTTCTGGAATCATAAGTCATTTTTCAATAAAATGAATGGTCCTGGATTTGTTTAAATGATAAAATGTACGAAAGAAATACTTTCTGGTGTAAAAAAAACTTGTAAAAAAATAATTTTTCATCAAAATCTAGAAATGTCAATATTAACGTTTAATTTTCATAGAACTAAATTGAATTATGCAGAATCTTCGAATTCTACGATAGTAGACATTTGTGTATGAAATACTAAACTTAGAAGCTCTATAGTACTGTAACAACATATTTAACTATTTTTGGGCATATAAATGATTGAATTACTTTGAAATGGAGTATTCAATAGAATAACATTTCTGTTATCTATTAAAAAAAATGTTTCACTTTTTCAGCCCAATACTATACACTGAATATTGAATAGTATATTATGATACATACTCGTTACGCTTGGGTGCTAACCGCGCCGTGTAATAATGGCCTGCTAAAGTCACACGTATCATAATCGCTCATAAATTATTATAAAACGAATATTTAATTTTAAGATAAGCGTAAGCTTTCAAGTACTGGTGCGGTGACTTTAACTTTACTTTTTTCAGAAATTTATTTACGAAACAAATTTTTTTCTAATTTTTAAATATTTTTTTATAGAATCACTTCGACTTTTATCGAATTTAAATTTTATATAAATTCGAGGGTTGTCAATCAGAGTGAAGAAAAATATCAAGATCCTCCACTATTTACATAAGTACTACACGTAGATAGAGTTACTATGTGAAAGCGGTTTGTTCTTACTGAGAATAGTCGACCAAGGCAAAAACTTTTATAGCTTTCCTTGAGTTCCACCTGCATGAATTGTGATAACGATAAACTGAGGAATTCAGCAGACTTCTTTTTTTTCCTGACGGACAAGAGGTTATTGTAAACCGAATTGTAGTTTCTATCATTCACTCATACACAAAAAGTATTTATTTTGTTTTTGTGATGTTTTAAATATCCCATAGCATTATCTATTTAAGTTTTGAGCTACGAAGAATGCTGGATAATTCTGATAGCATCCTCATTAATTTTTTTAGTACGAAATATGTACTGGAAAACAATGATGCACTGCGATGCTCCATGAATGACATTAGCATTTTCAATAGCACTGTTAAATGTACATTAAATTTTCTAGAGTGTCCTCCTTGCGACAGCATCACTAAGCTCTACTAATGCAATGTACCAGCATCGTTGTTGTCGTTATCCTCGTCGTTGTTGCTGCTACTGCTGTTGAGATGAAATTATTCGTTGACTGAAGTAGAAGAAAGCCATTAGGCGACGGAAATTCGCGTCAATTAGGCGAAAGACCGGGGAAGAGAGAAAAAAAGAAAAAAACGTATAAGTAGGAGTAAGGAGGGAAAGAACGAGTAGGAGCCACCCAGTGTAGACTTGAGCATTTCGCGAGAGCTGGATTTCTTATTAACGTCATTAATCTCAAGTCTTCTTGTCCCTTCCCCTCCTGTCTGTCTCTATCCGCTTCTCTCTCTCTCTCTCTCTCTCTCTCTCTCACCAGTCTAATTGGAAAGGGCGAAAAAGATTTGCGGTACCCTGGTCGATTACTGTTCACCTACACGCATCCCCCTTCAAATCTTCACAATGCTCAATAGTAAGGAATACCTTTTTGCAACCTCAGTACTTCTTACCAGAAGAAGGCGGATTTTCGTTGGTGACCACGATTAAAAAAGCTTTTCTACATTGGTTCGATCTATTCGTTTGCTGCTTTTGAGTTATAGTTCAAGGAAGTAGTGAACAAATTTGACCACACAAACAAATCCTTAAGAAAATCAATTTTGGATCTAGTTGAAAATAAAAATATTGTTATTGTTTTAGTAGTTTGTATTTATAATAAACAAATAAAGATAACAATTTTTGAAAAAACAAATCAAAGTGAGTCAATGTTAGTATTGTGCGTAGTTTTTCAGTCATAACAAAGTTGTCTACTTTAATTTCCGATTGATGAAATAAAAGAAGATAGCTTGATAACTTGGGTTCTGTTCATAGTAAACAAAAAACCTCTAATGCTATATACTGGCCTTGATACACATTCATTCTGTGACGTGAAACAAACAATGGACGAACAACTATTTGGGTGCAGCACAGTAACTTCTTCCGAATTCAACTTTTCTTAAAAGTTTTGACGGCTTACCACTGCTACTCTAATACTTTATCTAAGAGTACACTGGAAAATTCGCTCTTATACGATTGATTTTTTCTCGCTTGCAGTGACTATCTTGTCCTTTTGCAAAATGTGATGTAGAATGAAATATTTTGAATTATCCCCAGACATCTTGTCAACGTATCTTATTTAACGAATGAAAATAATGTCATATTCCATACATGAGTTTGTACATTGCGTAACACAAAGTAAATTCCAGTGAATGTTTGATATTGTAATAGAAGTTGTGTAAATGGACGCGTGATAAAAAAAAGAGATATCCTAGTTTTTAGTAATATACAAAAATGTAAGATATTGAAATTCCATTATGTTCAGTATGAAAATAATAAATGAAAATATATTTACCTTGTTTTTATTAAAACTTCTGGTAAGATACACTTGAACGTAACCCACAAGTATTGTTAGAAGGAAATAATCTGTTATAAAATAGCAGGAACAATTTTGTTACGCATCAATGTCGACGATAGTAAATAGACTTCTTTTTAATTTTCCATTGGTAATTTAGTTTTCCATAGGTAATTTAATTTTCCATTGGTATTTACAAGCAGATGAGGGGCCGCTACGTGGCGAAATTACGACAAAGTTCATCTTCAACATTAAATATATGGTCAAATCCCAAAATAAAATGCCGTTTCATTAACAAAAAAAGGTGACATTTTTTTTGCGGGCCCAGTGGCCTGGACCCCCGCAAATTGTCCCTAAGGGTCCTAGGAGTCAGAAAAAACGCGTGAACATTAAATTTGAAAAAAGTTAATTTTTTTTGTCACTTTTGTGTTTTAGACGCCGAAAAGACATCTTTTCACGCAAATGCGACTCATTACTCGATTTCAAAGTCATTGAAAAAGTATCAAAACTCATCTAAAAAAATTAACTGACTACTATATTCAATAGGATATTTCCTCAGCTTTCCGATGGTATAATTAGATTTTCCGAATTATCCAATTTTAACCGAGAAAATCGCCATCAAACATTGAGGGCTAAAAATATCTCAAAAAACTCGGTGCGGAAAAAGTGAACATTTTGGTTTATTTGTGATTTTTTCTTTTCAAAATTGAATAGTTCGGAAAATATGATATTCCCATTGGAAAGCTGAGGAAATTCCTTATCGAAAGCATGTCTTTATTTATTTTTTCCGTTGAATTACAATGATATACAAGTGAATTTCTGTTACTGTGTTCGTGGTTTTCAGCGTTGCGCGGCTCGCTTCATTCAAAATTTGCTCGTAATTAGACTGAAAAAATAAATAATGATATGCTTTCAATAGGAAATTTCCTCAGCTTTGCGATGGTAATATCAGATTTGGATATTTCGGAAAATGTAATAATACCATCGGAAAGCTGAAGAAATTTCCTATCGAATAAAGTAGTCAGTTACTTTTTTTAGATAAGTTTTGATACTTTTTCAACGACTTGGAAATCCTAGGAACTATTTGCGGGGGTCCAAGCCGCTGGGCACGCAAAAAAAAATTTCACCTTTTTTTTGTTAACGAAACGGCATTTTATTTTGGGATTTGACCATGTCTTTTATTAGTTCATTGAGGGACATATTAAATTATATCAATGGAAGAAAGGCGAGAATTCAAGCTATTTTCTGATGTTTTTTATTAACCTATGTTAAATCCTGTATTATTCTATGAATTAAAAAACATGAAAATAAAATGTTATAATTGAATTTTTTGTTTTTGGTATAAAATTATGTTTTTCCAATTTTTTTTTACATTAGAAAACATGTCTCCAGTACCATTTAGTATTTAAATAAGTCCAATGTGCACCAAAACTTACTTATCATTACAAAGCTGTGTGCCGCATGAATCAGAATGGAATCTTTGATCATTCTTAATCCTAGAGGTCTTAAAATTTTTTTCAAATATAAAATTTTTGAAACGCCCTCTCCTACTCGTGCGACGTCGGTCGGCGCGATGCCTCATTCCTTTTCTTTGTGTCGTGAACGTCACTCGTCAAAGTTAACCTATACAAGTTACGTTGAGTTTTATCAACTATGTCGAAGCACAAGAAATCGAAACGAAGACATAGAGAGAGAAGTCATCGTAGGAGAGATCATAAATGTCATCACCGCAGCTGGGACTCGTCGTCTTCGACGAACTACTCGCCGAGGTATAAACGTAGGAGGTCGTACAGCCCGGGTAAAATATCGGACGAATCAAGAGGTAATAACCTATGAATGAAGGACGTGTACGTGTCTAGATCTCACAGACCTATTCTGTGTAGATGAATCTTCGGTCTATCGAAGCATTCGTTGATGCTGTCCTCCTCGGGCCTATCCGAGTGATACTTGATCGATGTCACAGCAGTACTGCAACAATAAGCCTCGCACAGGGCCTATCCTATGCTTATGTATACAGGCACTCGGGAGCGACTACGCCAGTGCAATGTTGTAATAAAATATTGTGTCGTGATTACAGAGAGCTCATATACTCGTGAAAGTAGAAGCAGGAGCCACTCTCGAGACCGCTCGTCGAGCATCTCGAAGAATACGGAGCACACACCAACACGCTCTCGAGAATGATCGCCGGAAAAAGTTGTTCCTGCAACTACGCATTCCGCGGCAATGACGACGGATGACAAGTCATCGGCGGGAAAAAAGGAGGTTAAAATTTCATCGAGCGTAACGGTCTTCGAGAATCAGTCGACAGATGGTAATGCAGAGAATAACCCCCAAAGAGGAGCCAACGACGCTCCGATGACAGAAGAAATTGTGAACGTGCTCGGCTCTCGCTTGAAGGAGGACAAAGAATTTTCTCTTGCAGTACACTCCCACTTTAATTCCATTTGGAACCTACCAAAACCTACCGAATGATGCCAAAAAAGAGCTCATCAAAAAGTATCCGATAACAATAAATTGCGAGTTTTTCGAGACGCTACTGCAGTGATCGCCAGTCTTTCCAAGGTTTTATCTCATATGATATCAAGCGGCACTGACAATAACGAAGATGTACCGTATATCGAAGCAGTTAGCGATGCTATACGCCTTTGTATGGACTCATTTCACGAAGAGGCATCGATAGCCTCGTCGTGTCTCATATCAATGTGAGTTGGAAGGACATATTATTGACATCTGAGGTCGATGAATTTTTTTTCGGTAAGGATCTCACCGAAGTCGTGAAAATGCAAAGGCAACGGGTCAGAAAATGAAAGGCTTGGCGAAGAAAACCTTGGAGGTGAATAACTCATAAAACACAAAAACCCCGTCTCGTCCATTCAACAAGATATGCAGGGCCGAGTCAGCGGCAATCTTCGAAGTCTCAATCACAAGCTCAGACGCAGAAGACTCGGAAGCCATACAGGAGTCGCTGTACCTCGCCGAAGCAGAACTACTCTAGCAACTTGAACAGAAGTCACTCTCGCCCCTCGAGGAAAAATTATTAAATAAAAAAGTGAGTCACATGGCAGGCAGATTGAGTCTGTTTTTTAAAAATTGGTGAAAGTTCACGACGGATAATATTTTATTATCTTGGATAAAAGGAGTGGAAATTCCTTTTGATAAAATTCCTGTTCGAACAAGAACGCTTGTGAAGCGTCAATTTTCTTTAAAAGAAAGAAAAATAATCGATGATTCAGTGGAGATATTGTTGTCCAAAGGAGCAATAATTGGAAGCGATTATGCTGAGGATCAATTTTTGTCAGACTTTTTTGTAATTCCGAAGCCAGATGGTTCTTACCGCTTCATTTTAAATTTAAAACAGTTAAATATGTTTATACCGACGAATCATTTCAAATTGGAAAACCATAAAACTGCCATGGGTCTAATAAGACAAGATGATTATATGACAAAAATTGACCTCCGGGACGCCTACTATCTTGTTCCCATATCGGAAAAGCATAGAAAATATTTACGTTTTCAGTACAATGGAACTATATATGAATTTTCATGCTTAGTCTTTAGATTAAACATTGCACCTTGGATCTTTACAAAAATTCTCAAGCCAGTTTTAACCTCACTGCGAGCTCGAGGCTAACGGTCTGCAGTCTACTTGGATGATATAATTTTATTTGGCTCGAATTATGGCGATTGTAAAAATAATTTCGACACTACGAGCCAGTTGCTATCGAGTCTAGGTTTCGCAATCCACGACGAACAGAGCGACTCCGAACCGAACAGTTGTGTACTTGGTTGGGCTTCATTTTTGACTCTCGTAACATGAAATTAGATCTGCCGGCTTCTAAAAAAGAACAAATGCATAATATATGCAAAAAATTCAAAAAATTAAAATCTTGTAAAATTCGCGACTTTGCAAAATTCATCGGAACAATAACAGCAACAGTCTCTGATAGTTCAAAGCAATGTAAAAAATATTATTCTTCAATGAAATGGAATACTTTTTCGTTACATGAATCGTTTGATTTTCATTTATAGGTTCAACTGTAAAGAAGCATTTGTGTCCTTTTTCTCATTTTTGTGTTGTGAACTGTGGTGGTAAAGTGACAGATAAAGGTGTATAATTTCATAGTTTTCCAGCAGATAATAGCCAAATTTGTCCTCGCAAGGGCTCAAAGAAGAAGTGTGTGGTTAAGTGTTATGAGAAAAAACAATAGTGAAATGTTAAGCGAGACTACAAAAATCCATAAGATCTGCTGTCGTCACTATATTAGTAATGCAAAATTAGAGGATTTTCAAAGCCCGAGTTATAACTTAACAATATTTTCAGTTTATGGGACAGCTCCCACTGCATTTCCTGATGAAAGACTCAACCGCTATAAACACAATCTGAAAAGAAAAACAGCAGCAGATGACTTATGGGTTTTTGTAGTCTCGCATAACATATCATTATTGTTTTTTCTCAGAACACTTAACCACACACTTCTTCTTTCAGCAAATTTGGCTATTATCTGCTGGAAAACTATGAAATTATACACCTTTATCTGTCACTTTACCACCACAGTTCACAACACAAAAATGAGAAAAAGGATACAAATGCTTCTTTACAGTTGAACCTATAAATGAAAATCAAACGATTCATGTAAGGGAAAAGTATTCCATTTCATTGTAGAATAATATTTTTTACATTGCTTTGAACTATCAGAGACTGTTGCTGTTAATTTAATATATATAAACGTTGACGCAACAATATAAATATATGCAACTACCATGGCAATAAGCACACGAAATTTTCTAACTGTCACCTCATTTCACCAGCTCTCATTGTGGCGCTACCTTCGGCTCGAGGCGGATAGGAGTGAGAGTTATCATGTTTATCGAATATTTTTGTTTTGTTTATAACTATTCACTCAATTGCTTTTGGATCTTGTAATTCTAACACGATACTCTTGAATAAATTTACTTTCGTGAGATATAACTTTAGGTGGAAAAATGTTAGAAAAACTTGTTGGAAAGCAAGCTCGTATTTGAAGGCCTTTTTCAACATGAAAAATAGATTCTCGGAGAAAACTAAGATTATCATCAGAAAGAACATACAAAAATCTATCGAATGGTATGTGCATTATTTTTCCTTTCCCAGCATGTTAGACAATTTACGATCGGTACAAACTGATGCACGCGCACCGTTTGAATGATCCTCCGTGAACGTGGTCATATATATATGGGCATAGCCATGTCAAGCGTAATATGTCAAAAAAATGAAGTTGAAACTAAGTAGGCACTCTTGAAGAATACATTGAAAACTGAAAATCCTGAAAGTTTCAGCCCCCTAGGCCCAACCCTCTTGGATCTACAGGGGCTCAAAGTTAGATTTTCATTTTTCAAATTTTATTCTGCTTGCCAAGGGTGAATATTAAAAATTTTTAAAATATGATTTTTGATGTAAAATTTGATGTAGAATTCAAATTTATTGTCAAAAATCATACATACAACTTCAAAACCCAACAACTTCAAAACCCATAAAAATGATATTTTCAGCTATTAATCATATAAATGTCCAAAAATAAATGTGTTCGTATCCAGCAATTAAGCCAATATTGTAATATGTTCATCGATATATCAAAATACAACTTCTGATAAGTTTTGGTCATTGAAAGAAAAACAGACTTCATCATTGAGCTTAATATGAGTCAAGAATCAAGGAAAATTAGAGAAAAACCATGTTTTTTGCCTCGTGTTAAGCTGAATCAAAAACGTGGTTTTTCTCTAATTTTCCTTGATTCTCGACTCATATTAGGCTCAATGATGAAGTCTGTTTTTCTTTCAATGACCAAAACTTATCAGAAGTTGTATTTTGATATATCGATGAACATATTACAATATTGGCTTAATTGCTGGATACGAACACATTTATTTTTGGACATTTATATAATTAATAGCTGAAAATATCATTTTTATGGGTTTTGAAGTTGTTGGGTTTTGAAGTTGTAAATATTATTTTTGACAATAAATTTGAATTCTACATCAAATTTTACATCAAAAATCATGTTTTAAAAATTTTTTCATATTCACCCTTGGCAAGCAGAATAAAATTTGAAAAATGAAAATCTAACTTTGAGCCCCTGTAGATCCAAGAGGTTTGGGCCTAGGGGGCTGAAACTTTCAGGATTTTCAGTTTTCAATGTATTCTTCAAGAGTGCATACTTAGTTTCAACTTCATTTTTTTGACATATCACGCTTGACATGGCTATGTCCATATATACAGGAAGAGGGGGAGAAGGAATGCATTAACACAAAAGAGGAGAAGCGAGTTTAAGCTCCAAAACTGGCTGACTGCCAAGCGGAGTCAATGAAAATTTCTCTGCATAGGTTTTGATGCTTTCTGGATTTTGGCCAGTTGCCTGCGCTTTGCTAGTGGCACTTTTTTCCTCTCGTTTTGCTTTGCGTACTGTGAGTAAATGTATGTGTGGGTACGTTGTGTAGATCGCCATACGTGTTCACCCTAAGAAAAATAAAGTGTGACAAAGAATGGTTGAACTGATATTATTAAACTGTTTTTCATTGCGAAAAGGGATAGGATCAATATGATAAACCTATTTTTCTCGATGCAAATCTCGTATTTGTATGTTTGAAATTCTAAATTATCCAAATTTAGATATCTAAGGTTTAAACAGAATTTAAGCTTTTCACATCACATCAGCTAAAACTAACATTTTCAGTCCTGTGACCAAGAAAAGTTAATTTCTGCTGGAAGATTTATGATGCTTATTCTTGCTCTGATGGCGAGAGTTATCTAGATTTTAGATTTATTTGTATTTTGAATGGACGATGTGTGTGAATACTGCAAGTAGAAGTTGAGTAAATCGCTGAATTTACTTGAAAAAATGATTTTTCATCCTCTAAAACACATAAGTAATTATATAAAATACCTACCTTCAAATCTCATGCTCACGCATTCTTTCATTTCTAGGTCTTCTTGAAATAATTTCCAGGGTCCAGGCTCGTCGGTAAACCAAAAAATTTCGAGGAAAATTTCAAGAAAATTTACTGATGAAACTGCGTTTTATTTTTAGATTTGACCATATATTGATGTTTACATATTCTGTATAGACATAATGTAGGACGTAGGTTGATAGAATTTAATGGTTTATAGTTAATACGGTGTGATATGCCTGTGTATTTGACCATTTCTTCAATCGAGAATATAACGACCTGTGCATCGATTGTTGTCGTAATCTTAAGATTCCACGATACTATCTTTACTGTGATTAGTACCAATGTAGTTTATTAGTATTATGAACATGTAATATTATAAAAGTCATATCATAATAATTACTTCAAACATTTTTCATGAGAGAGGAACTTGAGAAGTTGTTCATTTTAAGATTTATAAATCAGTGAGCGTATATGAATTTTGATAGATACTTAAGCTTTTAAAGTTTAGTATTGATCTGCTGTCAATGAACTTATTGAACTAATTGTTCAATCCATCAAAACTTAAAGTTATTAGGATACGAAAATATAATAACATAATATGGCACAGAAGATACGTATACAATTGATTTATTAAACGTCATGTTAGTTTGAGATTTAATTATATTATGCTACAGATACAAACAAGAAATCGAAATATAACAAAATATCGAAAGCAAGAGCCTGATACAACATTACAAAATAACAATTTTTTTTCAATTAGCACGTAATATTAAGTATTTATTATATAGATTATTTTACCTGATGAGCTTATAGAAAAATCATAAATTTAATTTATTTCTTAGTTACATCGTTCATATCGGCAGTACTTATGAAAAAAATATACTTTAACAAGACGTTGTGAAAAAATATCTCAACAAAATACCATGAAAACTCGATCTTCTTCTGTCAATTAAATAGTTCTGATTTTTAATTTAATCACCCGATGTGTAGATAAAAATTTTCGATTTTCTTTCATTTCTTATTTGGTCTTTGTCACGTTACGATTGGAGCGTATTATCGTTATCTACCGCTCAACATATACTCATCATTACAAATCTTGGCAGATTGAGTCCCTACGTAAAAAAACTTAATCAATTGTCATTGAACAATACAAAAAGGAAAAAATTATCTAATATCGCATTGAACCTCTCATCGCATTGAATCTATTCATATAAACACGATCATTTTGTACATAAAACTCGAAATTACTACTTGGGGGCAAGACAATTTCAACAAATCAAGTTTACGTCAAAGCTTAAGCAAGGCCATTAGAAAACGAACAGAAAAAGAGAGTGCATAAGAGAAAAAGAGGGAGAAAGGAAGCATCAGCAAAGTATTTCGCGTTACATATAGCAGCAGCTCAAATGTCAACGGGTAATGCAGAGAGTAGTACGGCAAAACCTCGACCCTGAAAGATAAAACCTAGGGGCCGTAGAGCATTCGCCTTGCTGGATTTAATGTTGACTGCGCGCGCGCGTGAATTTGTAGATGTGTGTGTGTGTGTGTGTGTGTGTGTGTGTGTGTGTGTGTGTGTGTGTGTGTGTGTGTGTGTGTGTGTGTGTGTGTGTGTGTGTGTGTGTGTGTGTGTGTGTGTGTGTGTGTGTGTGTGTGTGTGTGTGTGTGTGTGTGTGTGTGTGTGTGTGTGTGTGTGTGTGTGTGTGTGTGTGTGTGTGTGTGTGTGTGTGTGTGTGTGTGTGTGTGTGTGTGTGTGTGTGTGTGTGTGTGTGTGTGTGTGTGTGTGTGTGTGTGTGTGTGTGTGTGTGTGTGTGTGTGTGTGTGTGTGTGTGTGTGTGTGTGTGTGTGTGTGTGTGTGTGCAAAAGCGTGTGTCCTTCCGGTACGCGTGCATCCGCGAAAGTGATGCTTCCAATGTCCTCGCATTCGAGTCATTGGCGGAGCACTCCTGCAGTGAGAAGGGGTTGGAGAGGGGCGCTTGGGCGCATAACTTGCGATGCGAAGCAGCACCCCGACGTGACGGCCGCCGTCGAGACGCTCGACGAGACGACGGCAACGACGACGACGACGGCAGCGGCGGTGGCAGCAGCGATATCAAGCCCTTACTGCTAGTGTTCTGTGCTTCTAGCTGTACGAGTGCGCGCGCAGCGTGCGGCGAGAGAACGCTCGACAGTGGTGGCGGTGGCAAGAACGGCGGCGGCGCGGCTTTGGCCCGGGACACCACTGGCGCGCGCCCCATTCCGTTCTCGGCATCAGAGCCTAGACCATCGAGTCGCGAATCCGTGTGTGTATAGTGCTTTCTGTCTCTCTATCTCTTTCTCTCTCTCTCTCTCTCCCTCTTTTCCTCTCTTCCTCTCTCGCCTGGTAGTAATCACCAGCAGTTTCCTCTTCTACTACCACCAATATCGCGCGCGCTACTTTAATCCATATTACTGTGCCGTCAAATCTTTACCCATAAACGTGCAACTTACGCACATTTATTTGTAAACACACACATACTTACACACACACGCACACGCACACGCACACGCGCGCGCACATACACAAACACACACATACACACAAACTCACATATATATTTATATATAACATACCTATATATAAATATATATGTAAACAGTTTAGACGCATGTATGTGATATATGTGCTTATATTGAAGGGCCAAGAAATATTCACATCCTGTAGTAAATAGTGTGAGAGTGCAAATCATAGAAGGAAGATAAACGGTCAACAAGTTTGCAGTATAAATTATAATTACATAAGATATTCATTTCTACGTCTGCGTGGAACTCCTAGATTCTCAGCCTACAGATATGATTGAAGGAGGCGTTATTGACAAACAGCTATATGCAACAGTCATCAGAATATACCTGTAATCATTCAAAGCAGTTTTTTGAAATTTTTTCATTAACGAGTTAATAACGAAAAAGCTGTAACAAGCAAATTTTTTCGCGAGTGAACGTAAAAGATTAATTCATATCCTGTTTAGTGAGCAGCCGTGGCTTAGCTAATTTATAAAGTGAAGTACCTTACTGCAATTAGTAGAAGATTGTCAAGTGTGAGCCAAAAGTTCAACAGGTAAACAGTGTCTATCGCTGATCTGTTGTTGCAGCTTTAATCAAGGAGTGCTTGGCAAGTTCGCTCCTGAAATTATTCTGTGTAATCTGCCAGCAAAAATTTGACAAGACGGCGGTCACTACGTACATCACACCGCTCATCACATCCGAGAAGGTACTTGTACCGTGTTTTTTGTCATCCATCCATATTTCACCTGCATCAACAATATCAACGAAACAACAAAATTCAAAACTTCAACTACTTAAAAAATATTGTTGCTACCTATAAAAAACCACCATCTTATTACTCCAATTATCCAATATACATTCACTTTATTTGTGTATCTATAATGATCTGCAACATCCATCTCTTTGAATGTGTATAAATATATGTGCAAACATATATATGATTATATGAGATATGAGGATAATCGAAACAGTAACATCGTTGGATGTTAATAGCATGAAGTCTATATTTACAAGTGTTCTGCGTACTTCTCTACACCATTGTGCTTTATAGTGTGTTTTTGTTTCATCAATGGTAAATCTTGTTGATTTTTCTTGCTGTACAGGAGAAGTAACAAGAAAAAGAAATAAAAAAGTGTGGTGTTATTGTTCAATGTGTGCTTCTTTTTAGCTGTTGTTTGTATCATCAATATACATCCGCTCTTTCTGGCTCTGGTTGTTATTATTATTCTGCAATTTTCTGTTCTGAGTGTTGATATGTATATACATATAATGTGCGAGCACTACCACTTGTTTCGTGACTCAGAGAATAAGAAAAGTATTTTTGCCCGCCCAATGACAAGAAGTACGTAAGTCAGTAGTAAAATGAAGCGCGTATGCTTAGCGATGCTAGAAGAATGAATGGCGACTTTAGTTGAAAATAATACTTTTAAATTCGAAGTTTTATGCATTTGGAAAATAATTTGTTTTCAAAGATAAAGGAAGAAAGTGAGAAAAAACTTTTTCTACGTCAAATGGTTCGACAATTTTTTCATTATTTGCTATTCTGGAATGGAACACTTTTTCGACTTTCTGTGTTAAAAGCAATATCATAATTCGGAAACTTCGTTATACACGTGGAAAGTGGTATGAACTTACGATTTTATGCCAACTCGCTAATTCATTGTATGCAACAATGCTGCCACTGTCCAGAGTAAGGTATGCACAGCGATGTCCGTTTCTCGTTATCTAGACTAATGACACATGCATTGAATTTCGGCTATTCACCTTTGATCAAGGAACCATGCTATTGCTTAATTGTTTCACCGTCAAACTTCTATAGTTTTACTTGAAAACGAATGAAGCATTAAAAGAATCTGACTCTCTGTCATTTTAATACGCATTTTGTTACTTGATTTCAGTTTCATTCCAATGGGTGTTTCATGCAGTTTTTCAATTTCCAAACATAAAATAGCTTTTTAGTGAAAAAATCAATGACGAACTGTTCACAAAAACTTTCAATTTTGTTCATCTGCTCAGCTCAAGCACGATAATTTGTTGTTTTACCGATTAGAAATGCGTCCCGGTATACTAAGCTGATTGCACAGCATAACTGCACCAGTTATGTTATCAGTTTACGAAAGTTTTGACTGGCAATCAAAGTCCCACAACAAAACTATTAGCCGTAGTTGTCAATAATTAATTTGGCCAATTCAGAACCTGTAGAAACTTCTAAAATAGCGTACATTCCTTAATTAACTTACTCTCATTGATTATTATCATTCGAATTCAAACTACGGTCTCTCTGATTTTCAAATCATTTGATAGTATGCCACTTCAAATTCTAACAAGTATCCAGATAATTTTTTTTTCACCTTGTGAAAATGTTTAAAAACGTCGATGTCCTAAAATATACTTCATTTAATTTCATAGCACTTTGAAGATTCGAAACATGAAATTACGCTTTGCTGACGCTTTATTTTTATTCTGTACTTACCTTTAAAACTTGCTGCAACTATCAACTTTGATGAGTCAACAAACATTAGTTTGTCTTAGAACGGCTTTTGCTTATATAATAGATCACATAAAACTTTTTAAGGGGTAACACCACTCTAGGATTTTCAAAAAAACTATTTTTTTTTTTTGCATAAAAAGTTCCCTTGGGGTATGTAGAATAATGCCAAATTAGTTTTATAGGGGAGACGAAGTTATAAGATGCTTATTTTTTAATATGAGTGGAAGGGTCTTTACGAACATATCTTCGCAAAATCAGCGAATTTTAATAAATTTAGTATTTTTTCTATTCAATCACTGCCGCTAAAATTTCATGTAAGTACATTATCGTACGAGTGAAAAGTAGCTTTAAATATGTACACCGACCTGTAGAGGTTGCTATAGAAGGCCAACTGTATGGGGCAGGGATCGCTGATTAAAGGTAATACATAGGTTTTGTATGAATTTCGTATCAAAAAAACTTTAAACGCGTTTTTCTCGAAACAACATTTTTCGGCACTGGCGGAACGATATCTAGAAAAATATTGAACCGATTGAGTGAGCTGAAATTTGAACTGAAGCTTTAAAATAAGATTACTAAGGGAAGTACGTAGGATTTTTTCGATAAGTTAATTATTTCAATTTTTATAAACAATATTCGGAGGAAATTTTCTTGAATTTTTGAAATTTTTTTTTAGAAACACGCAGTTTTCACAATTTTCACTTTTGAGCTAAAATCCTACGTACTTCCCTAGAAAAAGCATTTAACTTTAAGACCTGTTTTGAAATTTTGTTCTAGATGCCACAGAAGTCGAGAAAAATTTCCGCCAGTCAAAAAATCGCTATTTTGTAAAATTGTGATATCTTCGCCATTTGTGCCTAAAACTAACAATAACATTTTTTCTTATAGTTCATTGCGTGTTTTATTAGTCCTCAAAGTCTCAAATTAAAGTATTCATCGTGGCCCCCACAAAAAATTCGTAAATTTGAGCAATTTTCCAAAATCCTAGAGTGGTGTTACCCGTTAATGACATAAAAATATTATGGTTTCTTTTTCTTTCTAAGTCACCACAGCCGTCTAATATTTGGCCATAATTACTTTCAACTCTTATTTTTTCCGAGCTAGATAAAAAAGAGCAACAGGGTTGTTCAATATAAGCATAGTGACTGCGAGTATACCTAGTGTGATGACGCTTGATTGTGATAATGAGAACCCTATAGTAAAGATCTGTAAACTTATGAGATTTTCAAAACGCATACCGTATTTATGAAGAACTCAAATCTTCTTCTGTTTTTCTTTTTCTGTCCGTCTGTTTATCTGTCTTTGTATCTGCTTTTCTCTGTTTCCCTTTCTCTCGCTTTCACTCTTGCTTGCAAATTTTTTAATTCCTCACTTTTCTTTTCACTTTATTTTATTTCCTTTCATTGAATTACTCACTTGTTTCATTTTAAAATTGTGGCTAGAGTAAAATCTTGAGTAAAATTTAGTAAGTAAAAATAAGATAGTAATCAAATTTTAACCGTTCTATAATGATTATCTTTAAAAAAAACTCGTAAAAACAGTTGGCTTTGTTAGGCACTCATAAATGCACCCAGAGAAAAAACTAATGCATGATTTTCTTGAACTTCATATTTAAAAATTTTAAATAGACAATATCGAAAGATCAGGAAATTTCTCATCGATATAGACATTTTCTAGAGAGGATATTCTAATTTTAGCGAGATATAGCGAGGAAAAGAAGAAAAAACGTGGTTTTTGAGCGCGCTGAGTCGAGTGTACGTGCAACAAACCACGAGAAAACATAAATGAGCAAGAATTCGTGAGTGGATTGTGTTTTTAGTCAAGGAAATAGCAAAGCAAGACTAAAAATCGAATTTTCAATGACTTTTTCTGCAACTACTACTGAATACTTCTCAAAATAATTCAAAGGTGACAGTATTTTTCATATATTGTAGGTCACTGTAAAGTATGTAGAAAAATATTTGATACATGTTGCAAAAATTAGATTCAAAAATTTATTTTTCAGTCTTGCTTCGCCATTTCCTTAAGGATCTCTATTTTTATAATCTTAACTAGTAATGATAACTGACATGAAAAACTATTCTGAGACAAATGCAACAAATCTAATTTCACAATCTTATGTGACTAAGTTTTCATGTACCGAGTACAGGATACACGTGAAAAGGTTCTCACGTGACTTGAATTAATTATTGAGGTTTAGCAACAAAATTTACCGCTTTTATACAATAAATAATGTTCTCTGAGGTCCAATCATCCCTCACCACTCCCAATCATCTTTCGAATCCTGACATAGCCTTAGAATATTTGTTGCAATAAAATAGTATTTTTCGGGGTTTTCAAGCATTGAGTGAGAGGGAGGAGTTCCACTATGTGAAAACTGGTGATATTCCCCAATTGAGAGTGAAAGAGAAACAGAGAGATGGCGTGCCTGATCCCACCCGAATAATTTTAAAATCGTTTTTTTCTTTTAAACTGCCATATGGAATATTTATGGATAAGCTTTTTTTATGTTTATGTATATGGGCTGTATCACGTCAACTATCCCACCCTCTTGGATCAAAGTTGGAATTTGATTTTTCATATTTTATTCTGCTTCCCAAGGGTGAATATGAAAAAATTATTGAAACATGATTTTTTATTTAAAATTTGATGTCAAAAATCATATTCATAACCTCCATATCCCTAAATTATTAACAATCAGTCTCAAAGCCAAAAATAAACATGTTCGTATTCAGCGGTATGGCCAACATTGTAATATGTTGATCGATACATCAAAATACAACTTCTGATAAATTATGGTCATCGGCAGACAAAAAGACTTCATTATTGAGCATCATATGAGTCAATAAAACATGTTTTTTCTTAAATTTTCCTTGATTCTTGACTCATATGATGCTCAATAATGAAGTCTGTTATTCTGCCGATGAACAAAATTGATCAAAAGTTGTAATTTGATGTATCGATGAACATATTACAATATTGGCCTAATCGCTGGATACGAAAATCTTTATTTTTGGCCTTGAGACTGATTTTTGGTAATTTAGGGATTTTCAGGTTATGAATATGATTTTTGATATCAAATTTGAATTCCTCATCAAATTTTACATAAAAAATCATGTTTCAATAATTTTTTCATATTCACCATTGGGAAGCAGAATAAAATATGAAAATTCAAATTCCAACTCTGATCCAAGAAGAGGCGACAGTTGACGTGA